TTGATGGAACGAAAAGAAAAACAAAAGGATTGCAGATCTGGAAAAGGTACAATCTTATCACAATTTCTATCTAAATACAAAGGCGATTCTTGGTGGGAATCGAAAATTATTTTAAATTCCGCTGTGCATGTATAAGTAGATTCCCAACACACAAAACATGTTAGCTTCAATGAGTCGTTTTGGTTTACATTCTAGTGCAAGTGACATTTGACTTGAAGGGAATCTCCATATCCTTCTTGTTCGGATAATTACATACACTCTTTGGTTTTCCCTTGGCTTTTGCCTCGAGTATTTCCCCATTTTGATTCCACCGTCCCACTTAAATTAGATCAACTTTGAACTTGATCTGTATTGGTTTCACTTTTGCTCACGTCCGGTCGAAATTGAAGTGTTCTTAAACGAACCAAGACACAGATGTGATGAAATATGCACAATGATTTTTACAGATTTTAGTGTTGTATAGGCAAATAATAACAGCTATACAAGGATAAATTTAGTGTCGTATTGTAGGAGTATTATCTGTAATGAATCTTCACACAAGAAAAGTTAGGCAAGAGAAAACTAACTAGCCATCGGCCGAGTTGGAGAGGAGTTGATTGTGTGCCCCTTATTAGTCTCGAGTAAATCACAGGTATAAGATCGTACAAATTATAAGAGTATATCTTATAATTTAACGATAAAAAATTGGCCATATTATCGTCTGGACAAAAAAAAAAAAAAAATGACATGAACTTCAAAATTGCAAGAGCCATTCTTTTTGTACTTTTCATCCAAATTTAGGTTCTATTTTGTGTTTTTAGATGTTTCTCCAAGCAAGATTGCCTATCCCTTGAAGTCTTAAGAGAAGATGTATTAATAATGTGCTTGTTTAAATCAGCATTTTAAGAAGTGCGTTTAGGCATTAAGCTTAGAAGCGCCTGCCTAGGCCCGTGCCTAGCCTAGATGGGAATAATGAGCCAAATATGACTGCTACAAATTGATTAATCATTTCGGTTATTTCATTTAGTTCCCAATTTAGCGTCACTTTTTCAACTTATTTTTCGGCTATATTCTTCATGGTAGATTTTTTGATACCTTTTCAAAGTGTTGATGGAGAACTTTGCAGCGCATCTTTCCTATTGAAAAACATCATACAGCTTTTTTAAATAATGAGCCAAAGATGATTGCTATAAATAGGCTTATTAATTCGACTTTTAGTCTTTTAATTTTCATTTTGACGTCACCTCTTTCGACTTATTTTCAAACTATCCTCTTCATTTGTTGCGTAGTTTTTCAGTAATGTTTTGAAGTATTTACGAAACGCATCTTTCATATTGAAACACGTTATACGACGAATGCAAAATAATGAGGCAAAGATGATGGATACAAATGATTGTATTTTTTTTCCTGTTCTCAATGTCAATTTAATTAAATTTTTATTCACATCAATTTCTTCTCTTGTTGAAATAATTCAAATAGAAACAGAAACAACACCAACGCCATTCTTTAGTTAGCAAAAGTCGTACTCTGAATGGTCTAATTACGATGTTGCTAAGAAGTAATGTTTTGAAATCGACCAGATAACGATCAATTCAACCAATCATGCTATTTGTACAAACTAGAGTGACAAAATTGGTTTACAAATTATGTGTTGACAACATCTAAACCAATCATTTCAAAAACGGTTTTTGAAATCAATGGCCAACACTTACTTTGTACAACAAGATAAATTCTAATTCAATAACTATCATTAACTAGTTGAGGGAATGTATCTGATATGACCTATTAAATGTAGCATTATTATTTCATAGGGAGGATGAGTAGAAAGAATAGAGGGATAAATTCAATCAAAAGATGATCCATAATAACACGCACCCGAATTAGCCCACTCTCCTAAGTTAAATAAGTGTAAATTGAACCAACAGGCGACATGCTTAAAAAGGAAGCAAACGCTATCCCAATTAGTAATAGCAACTGTCATCTTGAAATACCTATTGTATCAGACGAGCCAAAACTGTCGTTTTCATGTAGGAATGCAATTTAAATTGGGAACAAGAAGCTTTGGCTCAATCTCTTACTAACTAGTATTTAACTACTAACCAACACTACAAGTTTAAATAAAAGGATTTAAATAATAAATTAAGTAGCAGTTACATCTTCAGTAATCTTCTCATCACCAAACAAGAGTTCTAGGGATGGCACTACTCTTGGAAGAATAGGCAAATCTGCTAAGTTAACACTCATATTATCAAATGCAATGCACATTTTATGCATGTGAATTTTTCCATCACATTTGGGAATTTTCGGGTATCATTGGTTGAAGTGAGTGAGGGTTAAGCGATAAACTCCACTCAAGTTGCCTACTTCCACGGCTTCTTTTATAGTGCTGTGCTTTTTTTCTTCAGCCTCCTTCAACAGGCTATCTTCAAATGTAGCCTACACCAGAAGCCAAAGCACCTGAGTTTATCTCAAATCAAAGATTTTAAGATCCTAAATCTACAGATCCAAATCCTAGGCACACTCAACAATACCATAATTATGTCTTACATGTCTCACAACTTACCTTGTGTATAAGAACTGTTGCTCCACATGAAGCCTGTTTAAGTTCAGTACATGGCCTCGTGTCACCAGAATAACAAGTTTCCACCCAGGTATCGTTTTTCCAACTCTATTGATCCTATTTGTAGCCTTCAATATGACACAAAACGTTTTCCTACATTTTGATCCTACACCTTAGTCATGGTTGCCCCGAAAAAAGTTTTCCTCTATTTAATGCAATTTCCAATTTCAAATATCTATTTTTGACCCTGTTTTCTGGCCCGTATCAGTAGCTTTATGATTTACTGAACTAAAATCCCTATACCACGTCAACCTTTTACAATCCAGCTTTTTCAAGAAGTTTCTATACAAAATGCACACCCCTATACCTCCACCTCACCTTGAAGAAGAAATTAAAGGACCCGCCCCCGGAGTACAGCTCAACTGGTGGATCAATCAACATTTGTCTTACTTCCAGCGGTAGGGTGGAGGTTCGAATTCTGGTGGGAACCTGCGGCCAAGTTTATTTGGTATGGAGCAATCACTTTGGAAGAGGATCTCTTGTGCGCAGAAGTGTACAAGCGGTGGGAGGAACCTGTGATCCAATTGAGGCATAACCCGTGATTTACCCCTTCGAAGGTTCTAGGGGCAAGGATCTTAGAAGTACAGCATTTAATCTTGTATAAGCTAGGATACCTGAATATAAAAAAAATAAAAAAATAAAAAAAAAATTAAAGGACCCCCTATCAAAACTAGCCTGCAACAGCTAGGTAGTTACAGACTTACAGTTTCTCAGGGCATATGGCAGGTGGAGAGCCTGCAAATTATGATTTATTTTTGAAGGGACCAAGAGAAAGTTGAGATTTTTCTCATGTCGTACGATAGGCGGAGAGCCTACTAACTGGAAGATAGATAAAATACATCGGAATAGTGATATAAATATATGTTGCTAACTTAGGCTTAATTACCCCAATAGTCACTAAACCAAGAGATTAACTGAACAACCCCAAACTTAGATAATAATCATTGATAGTGTATTTTTACTTTCAAAATAAATTATCTTTTTCAATTATAAGTTGAAAAAGATTAAAATGTAAAATCGCATTACCTATTTTTGATAGTTATAAATATGAGGTCATCAGATAATGCTTTTAAGAACCTGTGGCTCTTCTTTCGGAATAAGTCGTGGATCTTCACGGTTTGTGAGCGAATGAGATGTCTTATAAACTTGATTCGCATATTTAATTGAATTTAGTGTATAAAAACTAATTTAATTGTGCCCTCAGACAAAAATGAACTCCTTCAAACGATGCGAGGTTCATTAGGTAACTTAGGCTATGCAGTATTTAGTCGTGTTTATTACTGTATACGAGCTATTAACTTTCTGAATTTAATTTTGATATATTTTTTTACAATGAAGTTTCGAGATGATTTGTGAATTATTATAAACATATTTCATATATACCGAATTGTTATATGGTTCACACATCAAAATACACCAAATTGGCAAACGCCTTGCTTCACATATGTAAAACACACCAGTTATTTCATTGCCTACCTGTCAAATTTGCATTTTCAATAACTAAATATGGTAACAAATCAAAATGGTGAGAACCATGGTATTACCGAATTGCAAATACAAATACTTTCCAATATCCTTCCGAAAGTAACATTCAAAACATCAATATGTTTTTTATATAGTTAAAATTGAACACTAGATTTTGCAGCGTTGTTTCACTTTCTTTATCCATAACCCTTGTAAACCCTAACAAAAACATTTTGGTAACAAGAAAAATATTAGTTTGTATAAAAAGAAAATAAACGTAGTTAATATTGTCATACGATCTGATTATCACCCATGGGACTACTTTTGCTTTGTTCAATTTTGGTAAATCCTAAACAAAAAATATAGATAAAAAAAAAAAATACTTAGTTCGTATAGTAATAAATAAAGAAAACAGTTAATTAGTTAGCAACATACAATAGGCTGATCAATACCATTATATGTATATTCTTCCATCCTCCAATCAGTAGGCTATCCACGAGCCACATCACCTGAGAAATATCTGAACTTTCCCTTAGTCCCTTTAATCGAAGGTGAATGTGGTCAATTTAGAACGCCTTCGATATTAGTAACACCATGATCTAATTTCCAAAAACCGGCTTTAACACACGAAACACCTGTATGAACAATTATATTTTTGTGTCTTCTTCAAGTTTTTATCCTCACAAAGCCTCAAAAGTCGTTTTCCATACGTTACTATTAATCAAATAAATTCAAGGTGTTTATCTTAGTGAAATTTTTATTTGAAAAATAATTTTAAGACAACATTTTTATCAACCTTAATTTTTTCTAACTAAAAATGATGCAGTAAATATGCATACTTAATATGGTGTCCGGTGTGTAGTTAAATATGTTGATTGTAGGAACCTGTGATTGACAGGGTATGTTCAATTTTTTTGCTCTAATCAGACCAATCCTCTCTAAATCTGACATATTTTGTACCATTGGACCCGGATCCTCCATAGTCCACGTTAAAATTTGGATACATTGGAACCGGAGTCTCAATGGCAAGTATTCGGTCCACGTTAAAATTTGGATACATTGCAACTGGAACCTCAATGGCAGGTATCTGGTCCAAGGTATCCGCATTCAAATTTAGATCCATTATCATATTACCTACGACCGAAAATAATATGTTTTCGCACATTCTCAAATTCAAAAATTTTTAATTATGCCCCTTTTTTTTCAATTTAACCCTTGTGTGATGTTAATATTTGAGAAGTAATTTTTATTTATTTATTTTTTTAAAGAATGTATGATTAAAATGTAGGAGAATTATAAATCAGAGTGTATAAGAATGTATACATCATTCTCAAATGTAAAAATAATCAAGATGAAAAAGTAGTAACAATTTATAACCTATATAAAGTGATAACAAATTTATTAGGAATTTTTACAAGAAAAAAGTTTTTGACATTATATCACATGTAAAATTTTCTAATAAAATGATATAAAACATATTGAGAAATTTGTAACGAAAAAAAAGTTTTTGACATCAAATCGTGTAAAATTTTCTAATAAAATAATATAAATCATATTGAGAAATTTGTCGTAGAAAAACTAGAAAAACACTTCCTAATAAGTTTGTTATCACCTTATATAGGTTATAAATTGTTACTACTTTTTTCATCTTGATTATTTTCACATTTGAGAATGGTGTATACATTCTCCTATATTTTAACTATATATTCTCCAAAAAAAAAAAAATCATTTCTCAAATATTAACATCACACAATGGCTAAATTGAAAAAAATGGACATAATTAAAAATTTTTGAATTTGAGAACGTGCGGAAACATATCATTTTCGGCTGTAGGTAATATGATAATGGATCCAAATTTGAACGCGGATAACTTGGACCAGATACCTGCCATTGAGGCTCCGGTTGCAATGTATTCAAATTTTAACGTGGACTAAAAACTTGCCATTGAGGCTCCGGTTCCAATGTATCCAAATTTTAATGTGGACCAAATACATGTCATGGAGGATCCGGTTCCAATGGTACAAAATATGTCAGATTCAGAGATAATTGGCCTGATTAGAGCAAAAAATTTGAACATATCCTTTCGATCACAGGTTCCTGAAATCAAAATATTTAACTACACATCGGATACCATATCAGATATACACATTTATTGCATCATTTTTAGTTGGAAAAAATTGTGGTTGATAAAAATATCGTCTTAAAATCATTTTCAAAATAAAAATTTCATTGAGATAAACACCTTGAATTTATTTGATTAACAGTAACGTATGGAAACGACTTTTGAGGCTTTGTAAGGATAGAAATTTGAAGACGACACAAAAATAGAGTTGTTCATGCAGGTGTTTCGTGTGCTAAAGCCAATTCTTGAAAATTAGATCACAGTATTACTGATATCGAAGGTGTTCTAAATGGACCACATTCACTTTCGATTAAAGGGACTAAGGGAAAGTTCAGATATTTTTCTGATGATGTGGCACATGGACAGCCTACTGACTGGAAGATGAAAGAATATACATATAATGGCTTTGATCAGCCTATTGTACGTTGCTAACTTATTAACTGTTTTCTTTGTTTATTACAATACGAACTAACCATTTTTTTTTTAATTTTATCCATATATTTTGTTTAGGATTTACCAAAATTGAACAAAGGAAAAGTAGTTGCATGGGTGATAATCAGATGGTATGACAATATTAACTATGTTTATTTTCTTTATATATATTGCAAGTCTAAAGCCATTCTGGAGGCCTTCTCGTTTAGCAACAATCTTATCGGTGTAAAGAAGCTGGCCAACAATCCCAATATGCTTCTCCTCAGCCTATAAACAAATGGTCATACAAGTGAATCCAAAGACCAAACAAGAAGTTTCTTTTAAGTTTATTGTCTAGGAAGGATCAAGTTCGAAATAGAGATTGAAAATGGGCTTTCTTTCACAAAAATTTTAGAGCAAGCATCATTTTCTTTGATAATCCTCCCTTGTTCTATCATTTTTCCGTCCACCCTTATTTTTTTTTCTTTGATATGATAATCCTAATCTGCCCTTGTTCTGTACTCTCCACATCACCCTATTCCCCACCGCTCTTACTCTCCTTTCACTTGTGAAGTACAGAACGCTAAACAGGTAACAACCTATAAAAAAAAAAAAATTGAAAGATATTGGTTTCGGTGAGCATGAAAACTGGATAAATTCCAAGGATCAGAAAAGTACCTTAGAAAGTCTAGTCAATCCATCCTTCATTTTAGGGACAATAATTATGTGTGCGGGCGCCAGTGGATTTATGTCCCTAAAAGCTAGAACTTGCCAAAAAAATGACAAATATTGATGAATTGACAACACAAATTAAAGCTCAGAGACTCAAGTATGAAACCCAAAAATAAATTGCTCACTTGTGAAAACAAATATAAGCGAGTAGATACAATACAAATTGATTAACGGAGAAAATAATGGTAGAAAGAAGAGGAAATGATCCAAGGACCAACTTTGAGAGAGATTTACAAAAGTCTTGCCTTTCAATATTGGACCATGCTACACGTACCTAATCTTTTACCTAATACACACACCATTTGGGTGAGATATTGGTTCGGATTATTAAATTACACATGGGGCCCATATGTTTGTTGGGGGGGGGGGGATACACCCCCTGGTACAAACATCTTTATCCTTCAATATTATGCCCCTATTTGATACACTTTAAAATTTTAAATGATTTGCTAAAATATCATTCTCCATAACAGATTTAAAAAATAAAATATTTTACACATAAACCAATAAAGTTTCTTTACCTTTTAAATACACATTCTTCAAAAAAATACTATTCAAAACACTTTTTTTCCCCCCCCCCCCCCCCCCCCCCCCCCCCCCCCCCCCCCCCCCTCCTTTTGGTTCATTTTTGGGTCAAAACCCAACATAACCCACGCGTCTTCATCTCCTACCTCAATCCCACTTTGTACCTCCACTCCCGCCTTGTCTTCCCCCTTCCCCCAAGAGCTACTCAGGAGCTCAAAACCCATTATTTTTTTTTATCTATTATAGTAGTGCGTATCAAACGCATAATAGAACTGGAATTGTCAAAGGTTTATTCACCAGTTCAGCCTTGTCTTGGTTTCCTTGGTTTCTCTTCTAAACCTCTGCCTAGTTCACATTTCATCTACATATTATCAAATCCAAGCCATTCAGAATATCCAGAGAATCGTTAAACTCGTATAAGCCAAGATTATAAGACACATCATGATGGTGACCGACAAAACCATATACTAAATAATAAATTCCCTACTTCCCATACAAAGTAACCCTTTTTTCTTTATTTCTCGGCAAGAATACAACACAATATTATCCATTATTTAAAATAATGTATTTCCATTTCAAGAAAATCATACAATTACAATAAAATCAAACAACGAATACTTAATAATAACCTTGTCATTCTCGTACACAATGTCAGCCGCTATTTCCTTGTTGATTATCTTGTCAAATCTTCACCATCTCAAGCCATGATGAAGGCGGGTTTGTGAGGGGAGGTAAGGAAGTGAAAAGTGATTTAATATATAAAAGCCCAAAAGGAGACGGCTGCTTCTAGGGTTTCCATTTTCCCTATGGTACTAATTTTTCTTTTCTTTTTCTTTTTCTTTTTCTTTTGGTAGGATTTTCTAGTTTGTAAAATTTTGGTAAGGACCAAATATTTAGGGTGTTTAGTATTGCCGCATCAAAGTATAATAAAAATTACAGTATATTCAATTAAAATTTTTATAGAAATCTCCATAAGTTTTGAGGTATTCAAATTAGAGGGTGTTTGGTAAGATTAAAATTAAATTTTCAATAGATTGTCATAAAGGTTTTTAAAATAGATGGTTGAAAAGTTGTGGGATCCATGAAAGATGTGATTAATATTGATTGTTTGACTTTGACTTAAATTAAAATTAAATTTTTACCCATACCAAACGGGCTTTTAATAACTTTTAGAGACTTTTATAAAATTTTTCAGAGTACTAACTTTTAAACAGAAAGTATTAAAATAAAATCTCAAAATTTATGTTTCATTAATAACAAGATTTTGAAAGACTTTCACAAAAATAAATAAATAAATAAATCTAAATTGTATATTTTCCTTTCAATATTTCTCGTTCTTTTTTTCTACAAACATTAGATTTATGATTAAAATTTATTTTTTCTATTAATTATATTTATTTTGAATTTTCATTTTCTCTCTCTTATTGTTTATCTCTATTTTCTATTAAAAAAATAAATAAATAAAATTGAATTCTTATATTTTTTTTCTTTTATCATTCATTTTTTTTTCTTTTTTTGTGAAAAATCTCTATTTTGAATCAAATTATAAAATTTTATACAAACTAATTTATAATTAGATTTAAATATGTTATTTTTTATTTATTCCTTAGAAATATATTATATTAATAATACTGAATATTAAATTAATTGAAGTCTTAAATTTATATTCTTTTTAAAATATATTTTTTAATATGGGGAGAGGAAGAAGAAGGGGAATAGTGGGAACCACCACATCATATGTGAGAATCAAACTATTGTATTAGATTCACGTAAATTTTATTTTAAATGAAAGTTTTCAAAAATCTTTTTAACTCTACGAAAGCATACAAATTTTAAAATGAAAGTCTATAGTAGTTTATGAAAGAACTTCCAATAATTTCATGCAAATCTATATAAAAAAATTGACGAAATCCACAAAAGACATTGTTGCGTGTTGTCATACTTGACCAACCTGCTTGGGCCAATGGCCCCCTCAGACCGAACCACGTGGCACTCCAACCGATGTGCCATAGCTTGCCGAGGTGGACTATGGCCGCAGCCCTTCAAACCGAAGTCTACTAATCGAGGCCCCTTTTACCGAGGCCTGTGAATGTACCCGAGGTCCACATGCCGAGGTCTATGACCCGAAGCCATAATGCCGAAGCTGGTCGAAGAGAGCCGAAGCCCTCAAGTGGAAGTATTGTATGAAATGGCCGAATCCCCGAAGCTGATGTAATGGCCTCTGAACCATAAGGGAGCATCCTCCATGGTTACTTCTTCCAAGAGATCGCCTACATAAAGATCTTATTCGAATGATTGATGGAACGTTTGTCATAAGCATAAAGGTCAAGTCTTGTCACTAGTATGGAGACTCTGCACAAGCAATAAATGCGCAGCAAGCTAGCAAGTCAAGCCCCCTGCCTAGGATAAGATGTTTGAATCAAAGAGATAAAGCAACGTGTCACCCCATCCAAGGGCTCCCTTTTCGCACGTATCACTATAAATACTTTCCTTGTGTAACATCAAAGGACTAATGCAAGAATCAATACAAAAATCTACACTTTACTCAATTCTCTTTCTCTCTCATTTACTTGCAATATACAAATCGAGTTTAAACATACTTACATATACATTTACGAACACCGGTTGGTAATTATTGTACAATCGAATCACGAATAACCCGTCGGATTCCGAACATCACTGTCCCGCATCGTTGGGCTACTCCCACGCCCTTTAAACCGCTCGTTTTAGACCGTTCACGTGTCTTAGCGTGTTGGACATTCGTTCACGTGTGCGCGGGTGGGACCGGCATCTGTTGGCAACAAATTTTGGGATCAACAGATTGGCGCCGTCTGTGGGAAACCATACCATAACCACGAGCAACCTTGTGGCAAAAGCTTACTGAAAGGACATTTGGGCAACCCCCCTTGAAAGAGGATTTGTTCTTGGAAAAGAACGGGAGGAAGCCCCATTACTTAGCGAAATCTGAAATCTGACAAAAGAAAATGAGTTCCAATGAAGATACTCCCCCCCAGGAGGGTAAGAGAAAACACGAACGTGCCTCCTTAGCCCGCTGCCCCAGCAGCCCGGCAGAGACTCCACCACCACCAAAGAAGAGGTGGGATGCGTGCGACGACACGATTATCAAGAGAAATGGCCGCTATGGCAGCCAACATGAGGGATATTGCTAGCCAAAATTTGGCTATGAGGGAGCTTATGGCCCAAATGCAGGGTCAGGGAGGCTTCTCCATTCCTCCATATGCCCCCCAAGGGCACTACCAGCAAGAGGATGAAGTCCAAAGTCATAGAGCTGCTACGCCAGACTATGGCCGAGGTGGAAACCCATTTGAAAGGGAAGTGGAAGTTGATGTTTCCTCCAACTACGCTTCTGGCCGACCCACCGAGATCCAAATGAGCTATGATAATTTTCCACCTCCGTATGAGCAAGATCCAAGACATAGAAGGGCAGGAAGTGTTTTTGACAGAATCAGCCCCGCCGAACAGAGACTAAGGCAACAGCAGGCTCAACAGCCTTGGATAAGGCCGCCTCCTTCACCTACAATGCCCCAGCAGGCGGAAGGAAGGCAAGAAAATGCCCCCGGTGTTGCTCCGCCTAGAAATAGGCAGCAGAAGAGAGAGGAAGAGGCTAGGGATCTCCCCGGGACCTCTCACCAACAACCGGGGCATGAGGCTGATGAGTACGACTCTGATGAACAGCAGAGGTCCTGCGACTTGGACGATGACGATGAGAACCTGCCTTTCTCAAGGGAACTAAGGAATGCCCAGGTCTCGAGCTATTATGTTATGCCAAAAATACCAAAGTATGACGGAAGAGGCGACCCGGAGAAGCATCTGAATGCTTATAAAACTCACATGAGCTAAGGGGTGCCACCCCAACCGTGAAGTGTAGAGCCTTCCATTTAACGCTTAGTGGAGCGGCTGAAATTTGGTATAGCAGATTGCCACCTGGGAACATCAGAAGCTGGCCCGAATTTAAGACAACATTCTTGAAGAGGTTCGCAGTGAGCAAAGAAGGAGAAGCCTCCATCCAACGTCTCCAGGACATGAGGCAAGCACATGGGGAGTCCCTAAAGAGCTTTTTATCATGCTTCACCGATGAGATGACGTACTGCGTATAATTCAGCGACCGAGAGGCACTATCCGCACTAAGGGGAGGTCTGAACATGAATACCTTATTCTGGAGAGATGTGTAGAATCAAGACTCCACCACCTATGACACCCTACTCGAAATGATGAGAAGGGAGATCATCAATGAAGAATTGATTGAGTATAGGAACAGGGCAAATAGAGGCCTCCCGCCTCCTCAAAGACAGCGCGGTAGAGGCCCGACCTCCCACCTGATGGGCTACCAGATGAACTTGGCCGGGAATGAGAACTCCGGTCAAGCACTTGCCGCCACCACTTTGAATGCGGTTCCCACCTTGGCATATGAAGATGTCAATCCAATTACTGGCCCCTATCAGATGGGGGCTCAGGAGATGCCCCGTAGGGGGAGAGGCCGAGGTCGAGGCTTTGGACCAAGAAATAGGTCAAATTTGAACCCCCCAGGATACTGTGTACACCACAGGTCCTACGGGCATAACACAGCGGATTGTGGAGACTATGCACAACGTTCCCGGCAGGAACCCAATAGAGACAGACATGATTCGCCCCAGGCGAATAGGCCCCCGCCCAAGCACGACAATCAACGTGGGCGTGAGGAGGCTGCTCCTCGTCAAAGGGATGTATCCCCACGGCGAATGGAGCATGATGCGGAGAGGCCTAGGGAAGGGCGTAGGCACCAAAGAAACCGGCAACCTAGAGATGAAGCCCCTATCCACGAGGTGGACACCATATTTGGCAGTTCGTATGTTGGCGGTGAAACACGAAACGCCAAAAGGAACTATGCCCTGGAGACTAAACACCCCCTTTTGACAAGCTACATTGTGGGTAGCAGCTCCTGAAGAAACTAGGTTCTACCCATTGTGGTGAGGGCTGTCATAGCCAGGAATGGGCTCAAACGAATGTTAGTTGACAACGACAGCTCCATCAACATTCTATTCGGATCCGCCTTTGATAAAATGATATTAGATCATCAGCTGACCGCCACCACCACTCCATTGTACGAATTTACAGGAGATAGCATCACTACAAAGGGAAAGATAACACTAGCGGTGGAGATGGGGGAATCCCCACGAACAACGATGAACTTCATGGAGTTCTTCGTTGTCGACAGCTGGTCGGCCTACCATGGGGTGTTGGGCAGACCAGCCCTAAAGGAACTGGGAGCAGTCACCTCCATCCACCACCTATGCATGAAATTTCCAATAGAAAATGGGGTGGCAATGGTGAGAGGCGACCTAAGAGGCTCGAGAGAATGCTATCTAAGCTCCATCAATAAGGTAGAGCCCTGGGACATCCATGTAATCACAGCTGACGTGGTCATGTCTGACGTCTTAGGTGATGCTCCCACCGAACAAGAATATGTTGATGTGATCGATGCACCACCTAATTCGGAGGCACTGGTCATCGATGAAATTGACCCCCGCATCATGGAACACGAGCCTCAGGCGTCCTCAGTAGAGGAACTTAAGAGCTTCTCGGTAGACCCCCGAGACCCATCAACCTTCTGAAGGAAAAGATTAAGGATTTCCTGAGCAAGAATCTTGATGTCTTTGCCTGGAAGTATGAGGACATGGTAGGCATAGACCTCAAAGTCAGCTGCCACCACCTGAAAATTGATCCTAAGGTTGCTCCGCATAGACAAAAAAGGAGAGCCCTCAATCTTGAGAAGTATGAGGCCCTAAAGGAAGAAGTTCAGAAGCTCATCCAAAATGGCTTCATCCGAGAGGCAACCTACCCTAGATGGG